CCTCACAAACCCTTTGAATTTTAATCATTCTCGACAAGTAGTATCAGTATTGTTCCCTTGTACACTCGACCTAGAAAACTCTGTTTCTCTCATCTAAAACCTTCCAAAAACACTTCTAACATGTCCCCAAGGCCCCCAAATGATGTTTAAAGTTTAGTTAGTACTTAAGGGTAATAAAAGGTCATCACTTTATGCATGAACAACAATAAATTCCCTTTTTTCATACTTTGAACCTCAAATGCACCCAAATAGCTCATGCACTCACACAATCATCAAATTACACATGTTTATCTACAAGCAGTAAGGAAAGGTTAGAAGTGTGATACCTCGCACCTAGAAGCTGAAGAATAAAACCAAGGCTCACCCAACCACCACTTTCTCTTTCCTTTGTTTTTGGAACCTTCACCCAGTTCTATCAGTAGAATAAGCATTGGATTGAGTTTTAAACTCATCTAAGAAATTTTAAAATAGTAAGAACAAAATTTCTAAGGTTTAAGAATGATATAGAGCTACTCACAAGCTCTAAAATCTAAAACCCTCCATAAACCCAAATATGACTAAACTCTATGGTTGTAGGCTTAAAATGGAGCTTAGAAGATTGAGATTACCGAACTTACCTCTATATTTTTGGACTAGGAATGGGCAATAACAAAGTCTTCACCTTTTTTACAACACTAGGGAATGAAGAAGGAAATTTGAATAAGGAATGAGACATATGGTGAAGAAAAAGAGATATGAGAGTGTTACACTGTTTTGTGTTTCCCCTGTCGTGCCTTATCTTTCATAAAGGAAAATCAACCTTTGAAACTTTTAAGGGGAAATTTATAGTTTTGATCATTCCTAGTTTAATCCCAAATAAAATATAGTCATTTTTAATACTATTTAGGCCCTAACCAAGCCTAAACCACTTCATAATTGGACAATGATTTCTCACAAGGCTATTGGGTGAATTAACTCTTTCTCGGGTTAGACCGAAACTTCTAGCCCAAAAATCGAGGCATGAAAACACTTGCAAAAACATACTCATTTTGTATTATTAATAAAAAAATGAAATATAATGATGAATGAAACCTCCTTTATATAGATGAGGAGTTCTAAAAGTCCTAAATAACTAATAAATATAATAATGAACTAAGGATATTTTGATTCTGATTCCTAATAAAATAATAAATATAATTCTAAAAGATAATAAAGTATCCTATATAAGTTATATTACAAATAATAAATAAAATATTGATAATTCATAATATTTACAAAATCACATATTAATCACGTATATAAATTTATGTATGCATTGTCTTCGCTAAAATGTATATATCTTAAGTTCTTGAGATCATATTGATGTGATTAAGTACTGTTAGAAAGCTAAGATATAATCGGTCGAATCTCCAAAAGATGATCAAATAACACTCGGATCTCATCCAAAAAATCATCGCAAGTTTGATGTTGTTCTAGTCTTCCTTTCTAAGGCTTGGACGTGTGGATCAAGTCCATTTTTCTTTGATGCAAGGCTTGTGGTATATGTATCACAATTGTTAATAGCTTTCTGTTGGCGCATCAATTGCTACAACTACGGTTCAATAATCCTTCTTTGCAGCTACTCACAACAACTTTGTAGCATTCAAAAAATGTCACAACATCGGGTAACAATATCACAACAAAATATCATAAGACATGTAATATAAAATTAACTGAAAACACTCTAAATATAATCTTAAAATGCTAAAGTACAATCTCAAACCTAACTAAAAAGGATCTAAATAAGAACTCCTTTAAAGAGTTATCACTTGTTCCTTCTTTTTCAATTTTAATTGATAGGTGACGACATTAGTCTTGGTGCTTGTTGTCATCTGTCGATGTTCATTGGTTTTCTTTATTTTCTTATCTCACATCTTTATTTTCTTTGTTTTTAATAATTTTGCATTTATGACACACTTTCCTCTGTCTTTTGGCATGTTTCTATACTTCTTTATTAGCCATTTGACCATTCTTTTTGTTTGTTTTTCTCATGGGTGGATTTGACGCCGCCGCTACTAATCAAGATGTCGCTTATTAGTTATCATGTTGATATTCCCTACTTTAGACCCTTGGATTGATTGGATACACAATCTGCATTGATAGTTTTATCACAATGCTTGGCTATAATTTGCGTTTATCAATTGTCTTTCAATATTTTTGATCCCCTATTGTGGTTCATTTATCGATGCAGTGAGATCTGTTCATATCTATCTTTTGTTCGAGTTTTTAATGAGTTTTTTTCACTTTTTTCCTTTAATGGTCCTTATACGATGTTCAAGTAACTAGTTTATTGTGTCAATGGTTATAAGTCAATGTCATAATCATTTTAATTTACGATTATAATTGTAAACCTTCATTACAATTATAAATATTTATTGTCTTTAATAAAATTAGTTGTTTATATACTAAAAATAATAGTTATAAAATGTATATTATTTACTTGCTTTAAAAGTTAAAATATTAAAAAATAATTAACAAAGTTGAAGAGTGAAATGGAGTAATAATGAATACAATTTGATAAATAATATATATTGGTAAACAAAAAGTAGGCACAACTCATACCTTTCTGGCCACTATATTGAAGATGGAGGCATCTAGTAGTTATTCCACTTTTGCGGTCGCATTCACCGACTGCTATTATTGAACTCTTTGCAATTAAAAACCAAATATGCCGCTTTAATTATACAACACATAAAGATTCTGCGTTTTAAACCTCTATTTATCCTTCGGGTAAACTACATTAGATACCATCAAACTTTAGGTGATATATTATTTATATCAGTAACTTTCTAATTTTTTAATTATAACACTAAACTTTGATTTTCATTCAATTATACCATTGAACCTATAAACCATTAATGACACGATGACGGCTTTCGATGTGGCTGATGATTGTCGACGTTGACACCTCACCAAAATAACGTCGTATTGACCTGTCTATTAACGGTTTAACGACCAGTGGTATAATTAAAATAAAATCAAAATTCAGTGTATAATTGGAAAATTAAAATTAATGGTTAAACATAGATCACCTAAAATTTTATGGTATCTATGTAATTTACCTCATTCTTTATAATTTACTGGAAAGTATCCAATATTATATTACTTCAAATAGTTTAAACAGTTGGTCTAGAAATTTCTATCACGCTTCAAAGCATTTCCCCTTTTTTCCCATCATGACTAAACGGTTTTAAAAATGGATTTAGAACACATTTACGATTTTAATTATTTAATTAATTTATTTTTCAAAAGTCAGCCTACCACCGCACTCTATCACGTGATTATGCAGTTTTAGTCATGCAATTCTCGTTGCTTCCTTTTCAAAAAAATAATAATTATATAATTATATATATATTTTAAAAAAATTGAAAAAAAATCCGGTCTCTGTTATATATTCCATACGAAAAAGTATAAATAATATTGTATTTTCATTTAATAAAATGCAGTAATATCTTTAACAACTACTATTCTGCTTGTTTTTAGTTTTTAATAATAAAAGGATAATTATTTTGTTTATTATCATTTTTAAGTGTATCTTAAAAGAATATGCATCCACCTCTTATCCAGATATCATTGTTTTAGTATTGTGATTATGTTGTCATCAATTATCGTCAGTATTTACCTATCAGTTTTTTTTAAGAAAAATATTAGTATTAGTTATGCTTGATAATTTATTAAAAAATTAAATTATTAAAAATAAATAAATAAAAAGTTTAAACATATTTAATAATTTCAAACTTATTAATTTATTTATAGCTATTTGTCTTCTATAAACTGATTTCATTATAAAATTTACGTTCAAATTTTCACTACTGTAATTAAGGATAAATGTATGATTTTATATTATAGTCGAAAATTTAAAATATAAATTATAAAATTTTAGAGAGTATAAAATTATTATTTTTGGATAAGTCCCTCATATTATTATCCAAGAAGCAGTAGAAACACACTGCTACAATCAATACAAGTCTAAAAAAAACAAGCACCAGCCGCCTAGGAGGTGCTAATCCCCCAAGCTAAACAAAGATTTATGTTGTTAACACTATTCTTTATGACTAGTCGAATTGACTTTAACCTAACAATTTCATTAATACAGCTAACCACACTATCAACATCTCTATTAATGCCCCTAAACTGCCTATGATTCAATTCCTCCCATATACAATATATATATGCACACCAAACTATTCTAAATATAAACACAAGGAGAGTTTTGCCTTTAAATCGAGAAATAGCCCAACTCAGTTCCTCGTCCCAGCACCCCACCATTCTGTCAACATTACACAACCGGGTAATCACCTCCCAAACAACCTTTGAGAAGGGGCAACCAAAAAAGATATGGCTGCGAGTCTCAGCCTCAATTTCACACAGCCTACACTTATCATCCACCCAGATCCCCATTCGCGCAAGTCTATCAGCAGTAGACAATCTGTCTAGAATAGCCATCCAGACTATGAGTGAGTATTTAGGGATGTGCATATCCCTATTCACGCAAGTTTATCTGCAGTAGATAATCTATTTAGGATAGCCATCTAGACTATAAGTGAGTGTTTAGGGATGTGCATAGAAACCAAACAACCTTATGCCATTCCACCTTCTCTTTTAACACGTCTCAAATTTATCTCTAACTATATATATATAGTGAAAGAAATGGTCAAAAGCTTCACCAAATTCTTCGGAAAAATTACATAAGCATAATTATTAAACAAAAGTACAAAAACATCCAGAAGATCCGATTGTAAAGAAGACAGAAAATTGAAGTACCAGAAGGTTAGTTTAGTCCAGGCCCATCGAAAAGTGCCACGTAACAGCACTTGAAATATAAAGAAAAAAATCTCTCCACGTGGCCGATCATCATTCCTCTCTTATTCAAATCGTAAAGAAAATATTTTCGTTTTTCCTTTATGATTTGGACTTTTATTTAATTTTCATTTATGTTTCTCATTAAATTCTCTCATTCCGCCTGCTATAAATCCCCTCCTCTTTTCTCTCATTCAATTCAAAGCAAAGTCATTATCTTCCCAACACTATTTTTCTCCGTTTCATCTTCTCCTTGGGGTTTTACGTTTTGCTCTGTTCTGCTTCGTTTTCTTTTGGTGTTTGGTTTGATTGGATCGATCATGTCGAAGAACATTCTGGTGACCGGTGGAGCCGGTTATATAGGAAGCCACACAGTGTTGCAGCTGCTTTTAGGCGGATACAAAGTGGTCGTCGCTGATAATCTGGATAATTCATCGGCCGTTGCTATCAAAAGAGTCGAGGAACTCGCCGGTGAATTCGGCAGAAATCTTTCTTTTCGCCAGGTTCGTTGAACAGTTGAACTCATCGAATTTCATTTTTTTTCTTTAAAAAAAGAAAGAGAAAAGGTGTTTCGAGGTGTAATTTTGTGATATTTTAATGGTGATTGCTGAGTTGGTTGCCATAATAGGAACTGAGGAAGGCTTATTTAATTTATATGCTTAAACTGCTAATTTGGAGTCTAATTATTTGATTAACTTGAAGGCTTCCTTGATAATTAAATTGCTTTAGCTGGCAACACGGTCTGTTCTAAAATTCGGTGATTTTCAATTATTTTTAAATGAGAATTTGTTGGAATAATTGCAATTATTCGAATAGTTCATGGCGCATTTCTCTCGGCTCTCTCTCTCTTTTCATATTTTCACTTGAATCTTTAATTTTGATTGATATAGGAATTAGTGAATTTATTTAAAATTCTTTTTCTCCATTAAACTATAATGGTCATTTAAAAGTTAAGATTACGGTTTCTAAGAATTTTAACTAGGTTACTTGAATGGCACGTGGAATAAGTTAGGCGTTTAATTGTTTATAAATCGAAGAATTCAGTGAGTTAATAATTTGATTAAACAGAATTATGGAGATTATAAGGTATTATATGTTAATATATATATATATCTATATATATAATTGTTCGGATTTAAGTCTTTTTAACAGAAATGCATTTTATATTAGTAAATTTATATATAATAAAAGCCTATATGTGTGTTTGAATAACATTATTATATTTTGGGTAGCCTAAAATTTTAGTGAGGCACTCCTTTGATTGGAAATTGCTTTAGCTGGATGGTAATGAAAAGTTTTACAGTCTATTGTTTGCTTTTGCAACTCTTGAGAATAAAATGTTCATGGGAATTTGTCGGCTATGCCAATAATCAAATTCATCATGTGCTGTTGAATTATTATAATATCATTTGTGTTTAGTGTTCACAAATATTTGTATCACTATATTATATTATATTATATTATATTATATTATATTATATTATGCATCCAAGATTTGTTCTGACCATAAATCTGAGGTGGACCTAATGTTCGAGCCTTTGCTTTTTACTGCAGGTGGACCTTCGGGACAGATCTGCAGTCGAAAAGTTATTTGCTGAGATAAAGTACTGTGAGGAATCAATATGCAGTTTTTCTTTGCCTTTTCCTCTTGCCAAACCTCTAAGGTAATTACATGGTTATTTTGCAGGTTTGATGCTGTGATTCACTTCGCTGGACTAAAAGCAGTTGGTGAAAGCGTAGAGAAACCATTACTCTATTATGACAACAATCTCATTGGGACAATCACCCTGTTGGAAGTCATGGCTGCTTATGGATGTAAAAATGTATATCTCTTTACCCTCCTCTTGTATGGTAGTTTTACAGCTATATAACTTTATTTATTACAAAACAAGTAGATAAATGCAGTTTCCAGCCTGCCGCTTCTTTGCATCAGCTAGGAAATTATAACACTAAAAATAAAGAAAAGTAAACCCTGTTTTCTTCTCGATCAATTTAAAGGCTATGTTCATAGATGTTCTTTTAACTGGTTTGGCTGACCACTATGGATTCTAGAGTTGCTTTAATAACCTTGTATATTCAGTATGAATTGGACTGTCAATTTTAGTCCTGTAACTTGATCAATCTTCTAATTTAATACATTTCAGCTTGTGTTTTCATCGTCTGCTACTGTTTATGGCTGGCCAAAGGAGGTTCCATGTACAGAAGAGTTCCCCCTGGCTGCTGTCAATCCATATGGACGAACCAAGGTATGCTGTGAACCTTTCATAAGTGCATACACTTTTGCATCTGCCAGAAGCAGTATGGATAAAGAAATAACCGTGGATAGTCATTACAATTTTACTAGTTTTGGTTATGAATCTCGTATGAGTTCTTAGGAATTTGTCAATTGATATTTTTCCCCCATAGCATCATCTGCGCTTATCTGACATGGTTGGTCTTTCAGCTTTTCATTGAAGAAATTTGTCATGACGTCCAACGTTCGGATCCTGAATGGAAGATCATACTTCTAAGATATTTTAATCCAGTTGGCGCACATCCTAGTGGCCATATTGGTGAGGATCCCAGGGGTATTCCAAACAATCTCATGCCTTTTGTTCAACAAGTCGCCGTCGGGAGGCGACCAGCATTGACAGTGTTTGGAAATGATTATTCAACAAAGGATGGTACCGGGGTAAGCTTATTATCATTGACTTTCAGATTCCAAATTGATCTTATCTCATATTTCAGAATTTGTTTTCAACATTTTGAAGCAATATGCTTTCAGGAGTTCAGGATTATATTAACTTTTGCTTTTTTTTTTTAACTTGAAGTTATTGGGAAATTTAGATTCAAGGCTGTGATCCCTTGTGACGAAAGGCTTGTTCTCCTTTTTCAGGTACGCGATTATATACACGTCGTCGATTTAGCAGATGGCCACATTGCTGCACTACGCAAATTATCTGATCCAAATATAGGTATCTTTTGTTTTCTTGCCTTCCATGTAATGTATTGAAGCGCCTCAATTATTTTGGCTTATGGTAGAAGAGCAGAGTCATTTACTGAAATGGCTCTTTCTTACGAAAATCGGATTGTCGTTAATCATATTAACACTGATATAATAGGTTGTGAGGTCTACAACTTAGGAACAGGTAAAGGAACGTCAGTTTTGGAGATGGTTGCTGCCTTTGAAAAGGCGTCCGGGAAGGTATCTGTTTCATTCTTTCATTATTCCTTCTTCTGCTCCGTGTCAGAGTAACTAGGACAACTATATTGAGCTAACAAAATGAAATTCAACTTGTAATCAGAATATACCTATCGTGATGGCTGGACGTCGACCTGGTGATGCTGAAATCGTGTATGCTTCGACCGAAAAGGCAGAGCGCGAATTGAATTGGAGGTAAGGCCGTACATACGAAAAAAGCAGACATCTTAGTTATTTTCTTTTTACCTCACCAATTCCTGCATTGATTGTTGCAGGGCGAAATACGGCATCGAAGAAATGTGCAGGGATCAGTGGAACTGGGCCAGCAAGAATCCTTATGGATACGGATCTCCGGAGTGAAACCGAGAGCCGAATACGCAGTGTTAATCGTCAAACTACCATTCTTATAAAGGCACTGATGATACTAGATTCTTTTGTTTTATTATTGACAGAAATATAGGGTGATTAAGATGAGAATGAACTTATGACTTATAGTTTAGGGTTGCTTCAATTTCTCAGAAGCTTTGTATTATACATTACCAGCCATACTCTGTGGTTGTTATAGCTACACGAGTAAATTGTCATATGAACATGAACTACAGATACGTTTAATGAAAATACCTTCATTTTAATCTTCTATTATATTACAATATTAGTATCATTTATTAGATTTTCAAATATATATATATGTATATAGATTTAATTTTAAAAGTATTATTATGAAATATAATAAATCATTAATTTTAAGTATAAATAATAAATTAAACTTCAAAAGTATAAGAAGAAGAATAACAATGACCCTTAAATATAAACAGTAAAATGATTAAAATATTATGTTTCAAGATTGTATACTCTCAAAGTGGTGGTCTCAAATAGTTTTAACTTAATTAATATAAATGAACACATATTCAGTATAATCAAAGTTTCGAATTTAAAATTTTATAATATAATAATATTAAATATTTGATTATTTTTTTTATTTTAATTTTTATATAATTTTAAAAAATAATTTTTATTTAAATTGTTAAAGAAACAGAAAAAAAAATTGATAATTTAAAAAAGAAAAAATATAGTTGAGTAAACTTTGTGAGGTTCATAAAAAGTCTGTTAGACCAATTTTAAAAGTGCCGGAGGGAGGAGGGAGGCGTTTGAAGCAAATAATAACGGTGGAGGGTCGAGAAAGGGCCACAAGCCCACAACTAGAAAGGCAAAGAGGAAAGGGCATACATTAGTGCACAAGCAGTCTTAGTGTAGAATGGAGTATTGTTCTTTTAAAAAATTTCAGATTCGACTACTTGCGTCTATGAATATATGTGTGCGTTATCAACTGTTAAAAAAGATTATAAACAAATATTATATTGTAATCAAATCTCAACAATTCAAAAAATATTTGTGACATGATTTTTATGTATATTTGTGTGGTAGCTACTCTAAGAGCTCCTCCATGTTAGTCTTAATTGCATGATCGTTTGGGGCATTATTCTTTTAGCAGTTATTTGGACCATATGATTACACATAAATGATTTGGTGTTTAATGGAAAGAATCCAGATGTGCGTCAGATGATTTGCGGACCTATCTCATGCAACCAATGCATTAGAAGTCGGAGCTGCTGCTCCGTTTTTGGTCTCCGCCCTCTACGGGCACCCTTAAATTTAATGTGGATGGGGCTATGAGATTGGATGGTAGTGCTGGGGGAATTGGAGGTGCTCTCCGTACAGTTCAGGTGAGTGCTATTGTCTTTCTCGATCTCTATTGGTAGTGGTTCCCTGTTGCAAGCGGAAGCTTTAGCAATTGAATATGCATTAAAGTCGTTTATGGCCTCTGAGTGGTTTACTACACATAGGCTGGAAATAGAATCAGATTGTGCAGTGTTGGTTAACTGGTTGCTGAATGTCTTCTCTGTCCCATCGGATTGGTCTTCCTTGCTACTCCCTATTACATCTCATTTGATTCAGGCTAATGTAGTTATTAAATTGGCCCCTAAAAGGTGCAACTCCCTGGTTGATTGGTTTGCAAAAAAGGGGATTGGATATCGCTGTTCCTTTTTGAGTTGGAATGGAATTGGGATATTCTAGTGGGTGGGGGTAAAGTGCCTAAATGTGACTATAGAAGTGTTGAGGATTGGAGCTTGACTTCAGTTTATCTTGTTTTCTGTTTCATTTCTGTTACTTTGTGGTTGTTTCACAGGTGTTATAAGTAGTCATGAAACATTAGAGTTCATATTTGTGAAAGCACGATATTATGACTTTATGTATCATATGTTTTGACATGTTATGATTTAAACTGTCCAAGTAATTTTGTAAGAGCAATAGGGTATAGTTGACATGCAATAGAGTCTAGTAACTATATTATGGTACATTCGAGTATATTGTGACACTTCAGTGCATTGTGGCACTCAGATGCACTATGGCACTTTGGTGCATTTGTATAGCACTATGATGTGGACATTATTATCATTCTCGACTCTTATATCCTAAGCTAGCTTTTCTAAATTACTTCAGACACTTGTGATTATGATTTCATCATGGCGTGTAAACATGACATGAATTAAAAAATCATTTAATTAAAAATTACTATTTTATCATTACTAAATCATGATAATTAATCATGACATCATAAATTACATCATTATGTCAAATAAAAACTAATATTATATTAGTTTCTATCTTTTTTAACAAGAAAAATGAATCTTAAATCCAATGATCCGTGTTAAATTCTACTAAAATAAAATATGGAAATGACACCATTAACCTTATACTATCATCCTTTCAATTTCTTCTAAATTTCAATTTGATCTGATTATCCGAATTTTTCCCAGACTTTATCTCTTTATAACTTATAATACAAATTTCGAATAAAAAATCTAAAACCCACGAAAGAGTCATTCTTGGGGGTAAACTATTCATTTACGGGATAAAATTTCTTCTTGAGAAAATTATCACTTTGATCCCTAAACTTTTCCCAAGTTTACACTTTGGCTACTATATTTTCAAAATTTATATTTTGGTCACTAGTCCAAAATTTTAGGTATTACATATTTAATGAGGGTCACAATTGCACACATTAGTCTCATGTCAAGCCATTTTATGATATTCCTTCAATTAAGGGGATAATTTTTATACTCTCTCTAAATCTCCTCCACAAGATTGACCTCTGTTCTACATACGAAGATCTCCCGAGAACCCTTCCATAGTAAAGCCCTTGGAGAATACCTCCAGACATAAGGATATCTCTGGGTATAGTTCCTTTAAATCTCTCGAGAAGTTGTAATATTTCGATATGACTATTGGTTAACACCACATGATCTGCTAGAGCTAAAATCAATCGATCGATAATTAAATCAATCAGACCTACCAACCTATACGTAGCCATAATGATTCTATTCCTAACACCGATATTATGTGTCATTATAAAACCTATCAATTAAGACTAAGGGAGGGAATTGGAATTTTACATCCTCACTTCTATCTTTCTTCCTCAAGAACAGAGAACTTCAACATCGGTCAACGATCATCAAACCATTAGTTGCGACTCTCTATCCAAAATCGAATGAGTGAACTGACTACAGTCATCTTAATTCATTTATTCCCATCAATAAGATTAAAATTGTAAAAAACTAATACTACATGTGACATTTATTGCACAACGTGATATTTTTTTGAATTAAAGAGAAATAAGACTAATCATGAAGAGGTATTAAATAAAGTTCATGCTTAACCTATCGTTATTGAAAAGTTGCAAAAGATGGTGAGGGCTTCCTAAAAAATGGCAGTGCTCGTGTTAATCATTTTTAAGGTGTGATTGGAACACCAAAACAGGGTAATTTTAATAAAATCTTTTATTTTACCAAAATACCATATTTTGTCTACGAAAACACAAAATCAAGGTCGAGAGTCAGTTACACGTGTGAGAAGGGTTAGCACCCTATAGCGCCAAAAAATTAGTACATAGTCGATTATCCTATATTTAAAAATTAGAAATTTTGAGTTCGAGGTTTTATTTAATTTAAAAGTCACAATGGATACCAGCTTTGGAAAAAAAAGATGTTAGTTTCCTAAGATCTATGATGACCACCTTCGAGCATGTAATGCGAAAGTTTCAACATTGATAAAAGTAAATGAACATTGCCTTAAAGCTTGAAAAATCATGGTATAGGGTTTTGTCGTAACATTTTTTTACGAACAAATAAGTTTTCGATGAAAACCCTAAATTACAACTTACTTGGGAAAATTGAATTGGTTTGGAGATGATATTGACCTTTGGGTTAGGTAGATCGAATATCTAAAAACATCATTTAAAACAATTTTAAGAAAAATCGTTTTTAAGACAAAAATTGGTCTGTGTTAATCAAATATTCATTTTGAAGGGTTTGGGAGTCGATTACGCTTGGGGAAGGGTAAGCACACCCATAATGCCCAAAAATTGGTACTTAATCGCTTGTATATTGTCGTGGTGGAAATTAAAAAATTCGAATCAATATTTAAAGTGTGATTCTTTTATTGAACATTATTTTTTTATATTGGATTAATTAATAGGGAACATTTCTGAATTTGAGAAAAGTCACAAGATTTGCACGTCCTCCAATGGGAAGGCTATCATATCTATTTATCCTTTATACGAGAAATATCCCCTCTTAATGTTATCAAGAAGCACAAATCGAATGTAAATTGAATATAAGTAATTGCATAAAATAACCTACTATTTAAAGAAATATGCATTGCATCAATTGAATTAAAATAAAAATGAATTAATTATCATTTTTATAAAAATAAAATCGATTTATTTCAAGTTCACTTTTCGTTTAAATATCATATCGAATCGCACTACTTCGATCAAACAGTGCTTTTCACGCTCATTCTACTATAGAATGTTCTTGAAAGCATACAAGTATAACGAAATCTTAGCAAGTATTAATATTGAATATAAGAGTAGTTGCAACCTTAACAAATGGTGATTAAAAAACATGAGTTATATATATATAAAGAACCACTATATTTAAAATAAAAAACAAATAAGTGAACATATTATAACAAAATAAAAAAAAGGTAACCAAATCAGAAATAATCAATGATTAAAATGAATGAATTATAACTAAAGCATCAGATTTATAAATAAAAATAAAAGAGACAAAACCAAATAGAATCACACAATGACCAAAATGAAATAATGTGAAAGTCAATTCCAAACAGAGAGCATAACAGTAGTGACTAAATTATAACAAAATAAAACATAATGATAAAAATCAAAAAAATAAGAAAATAAAGCTCTTAGTGACTAAGATGTAAAAAATTGCAAACCTAGGAGGACTAAGAGCGATTTGCCCATAAACTTTGTGACTAAAATGTAAGATCGTACCAAAACTAGGAGGATTTACGTGTGAATATCCCAAAAACTTGCTAATATAACCTAATCTATTAATCTAAAAAACTAAACATAAACTAACCCCCGTCTCTTTCTCTCTTTACTCTTTCCCCCTTTCTTTCACATGCGACTACCGAAATGGCTAAAAGCCAAGCCCCCTCCTAACAACGTCGGCCACTACTTAAAGGTGGCCACTCTGACTCTAAAAGACCCCAAATACGACCAGAAGAGACAACTTGACTCTGATGAGGCTATAATCTAGCTCCCAAAGCGTCTAAAAAT